CATCCTGGAAGAGTTGCACATGTGGGGCAATCTCCAACTCCTTGGGTCTAGTCTGGCATTAATCCTTATAAAGCAAATCATTGGCACCCTCCCCTTGACCTGCTCTATCAGGATGCATCTTTCTAAGAGGTCGTGTAACTTAGCGGTGAGGTGTGTAGACTCTGGATTCAGAGAAACCCTAGCCCTGCCTTCTGTTAGCATGTGGGCCGGTGAATCATTCTGCCTGGGAGAACTCGACTATTCGACAGGTTCTAGCCATGGCTCTGGGGTTTGTTGTGACTTCTTGCATGCGAAATGTGTCTTGTGAAGAAGAATGGAACATTTCAAAACAGAGCCCACTTTAGTGGTCACAAAAAGGCTTACAAAGAGGCTTACAAGGTCAGCGCAAAGCTAATTAGGAGAGGAGTCTGAAACAGGAGGAGCGGAGCCACGCTTCCCGAGGAGTCTGGTTCAGCGAAGCACGGACTAGTTTGTGTTCATGGAAAGAGGAGGTGATGAAGTAAGCTGAGGCTTATCTTTTTTGCCGAAGGCAGAATGGGGCAGGTAGCTACAAAGTCAAGGTGTGTAGTGGAAGTCAAACTTCAGTCAGGTGGGTCCACACTGGGATATGAGCACTGGGCATATTTGCAGTTTTGTTTGTTGCTTTTTATCAGTGTGGTACCCATGGTAGAGATTTACTTAAAGAAGCCCAAAGGAGATGAGAAAAATGAACTATATGTATGAGTGGTAGCAAAAATTACCTGTATCATCAGCACCAGGCTAACAGAGAGTAGGTGGGTCAGGTGGGAAGAAGCTCCCTTGGCGGATAACACCCCAAGCAGTCTGAGCAGGTGTAGGGAGGGAGGATGTGGTCCTAAGAGATCCAGACTGTGACTCTCAAACACGGGCAGAAGAGGAGTCCTATTACATACGGTCCATTAGCTCTGGGCAGGCTTAGAATGATGGTAGCCTTTGAAAATCAGTGAGGTGAGGCTGTGCTCTGAGCGTATTTATAGGGAACGAAAAGGCGACAGATGCACAGAGGAAGTCAGTCAACAAAATTTGGAATAGGCTCCCCCACACCCCATTGTTTTTCCTCTAAAGGAAATGAACCGAGACATCAGGAAAATACTGTGCATCAACAATCATAAGGAAAAAACAAAACCATAAAGGACATCATGAAGTGCGTTGAGAAAAGTCCTAAGTAGATAGGAGTTGGCCTTGAAAATGAAATGGGGGAACTATTTGGACAAGAGTGTGGCTCTCTCCGACTCGTGAACTCAAAGTTTCCTCTATTAGAAGTGGCCCCATGAGACCCCATGAGACAACCGGAAATGAAAGGAGAGGGCAGAGGACGCTGTCAAAAGGATCAATGTACCTGCTGGACGTCTCTGTTAAAAGGGCCACATCCCCTCCGGGGGAGGCACTTCAAGCAAACTCTCACCTTCTCTTAAGAAGTGGCTATGCTTAAGTTTCACCGACTGCACAATAAATATCATGTAAAATAAATAAATGATCTTAAAAAAAAGAACCTATTCAGAATATACAGAGAAACTCTTCTAACTCAGTAAAACAAACACCCAATTAAATAACAGTCAAAATATTTGAGTAGCTGCTGGCAAAGCAATGGAACCTCATCAAGAAAACCCAGTCCCTGAAGGATGGCATCCTGCTTGGTAAAGGGAATGGGCAGCAACAAGGGGGGAGGCTCTCGGTGAGATGGATCCACACAGGGCTGCAACAATGGGCTCGAACCCAGGAACCATTGTGAGCGCGGCGCAGGGCCCAGCAGAGTTCCGTCCTGTTGTGCACAGGATTGCCGTGGGTCAGAACCGCCCCGAGAGCCCCTACCGACATGCACGTGGCCAGTAAGCTCCTGACAGGACGCTCAGCATCATCAGCCACTTCTAGGGAAATAGAGCGTAAATCCACGGAGAGAGCGCTTCACGCCCACTAGGACGGCAAAAGAATGAAGTGTTACTAAGCTCCGTTTTTAGTCTCTGCGGTGCAAGTGCCCATGACCCCAGTCTGCTGGTAGACTGGAGCATGTGCACAGGTACAGATAAGAGATAAGAGCTCATGACACATGGAATCCAGGAAACAGGAATGGGAGTAGTGATACCAGAAGGGTAGAGGGTGGGGGGAAGGTGGGGAGAGGAGGGGAGGAAGGGAGAACTGATCTGGATGATCAACACATAACCACACCCCACACCCCTCCAGGAGGATGAACAACAGAAACCGTGGGAAAAGGGACACAGCGGTTGGTGCAAGATATGAAAATAACAATAATTCATAATTTGTCAAGGGATCACGAGGAGGAGCTGATACCAAGGGTGCAATAGAAAGTAAATGTCTAGAAAAGAATGATGGAAACATATGTACAAATATATTTGATACAATTGATGCATGGATTGTTATAAGAGCTGTAAAATCCCCCAATGAAATGGCCTTCATATAAATAAATAAATAAATAAATAAATAGGTAGATAAATAGATAAGTGAATAAATAAATAAGTAAGTAAATAAATAAAAGTAAAACATTGGCCAATTCAACAATGTCTAAATATGTAATCCAGTGTCATCAACTAAAGCATGTATTTTAAAATAAGATTCCCACTTGGGTTAATAAGCACTTTGGCTAAAGGCTACGTTTACCTCACACAAACTGCACAGCAGTCTATTTGCCAAAATGTCCAAAAGGTGTGAACCTCTCTTTCGGAAATGGTTTGTAGACCACACTTGCCTTCCTTCTGGAGAGCACCAGGTGGCGCTCGTGTCTAGCATAAGGAAAAACTTTGCTGCAATGAGCTTGGTTTTCAGTTTGGGGTTCTAAGGTCGTGGATTAACAAACGCTGGCCTGCTAACCATCAGGTCGGCAGTTCAAACCCCTAGCTGCTCCACAAGACTAGGGTGAGGGCTGTTCCCATAAAGATGTATAGTCTTGGAAACCCTAAATTCTACTCCGCCCTATAGGGCTGCTGTGAGTGGCAGTCAATGGCAGAGGGTTTGGGGATCTACAGAGCTCCTGACACTTTCCTGTCTTCTATAGCCAGACTAGTGTCTTCTTGGTCTCCAGGCAGTTCAATTCCCCTAATCAGGAAAAAGTCCTGCTTGGATAGGTCCTCTGTCTATATGTTTCCGGTCTCTTGGCTCCCGCGACAGGACTGTCTGCCCAGACCACCTGGAGGCTGCCCTCAGTTGGGGCCCGGCCGGAGATGAAGGGCCTTGTAATTGGGCAACGACTCTAACTGTGCCCGGTTAGTTTAAAGTAGACAGAAGCCTCCTCTTGGGCCCAGGTCCAAACCTTATTTCCCAAGCAATCTTTATTGATATTTAATATGAAGAGTATTTGAAGAAAAAAAACAAAACATTTAAGTAAAATAGGAAAATGTCAGGAGGTCAATTGTCCATCAAAAGAGAAACTTTTGCAAGTTGTATAATTGAATCAGATCCTTGGTGGGGGTGGGGCAGGCATCAGTATTTGTAAAAGCTCCACGGTGATTGCGACGTGAAGTCAGACTTACGAATCACGGGGTGTAGGGCACACACGTGGTGAAAGCACTTGAGAGGCTGAAGGTTCACCTTGAAGAGAGGCCTGTGATTGGCTTCTGAGAACCAGCCATTGTCGACCCCACGGAGCCAGTTCCCCTCTGGTGCACGGGAAGTCACTTAACAGCAGCGGGTCTTGGTTGACCTTCAAACTCTATTCTAGTGCCGCTCAGAATACCTCAGCCCGGTCTTGGCCTTCATCCTTTGGGCACACGTGCCTCTATGAGGACACTGGGTCGTCGTTTTTTAACCTGCAGCTGTGTGTTCTGCTCCCTGCATGCTCTGTACGCAGAGCAGCGGCGCTGCCTCTTTTTGCACATAATTCAGAAGCCCGCTTCTCACATTTCACTGGACTAAGAATCACCTTCTCCATTTACAATGATGTTACCTAATGGCCCTCTTGTGAGGATTTTGGTCCTCTTTACATTGAATCGCAAACACATTTGCAGGTACTTTCAAGCACATGGCTGAAAGGACAAACACATCTGTCTTGGAAGAAGTTCAGCCAGCGCGCTTCTTAGACAGAGGCAAGGATGGAGAGAGCTCGTCTCACATACTTGGACATGTTGTCAGGAGAGACCAGTCCCTGGAGAAGGACATCATGCTTGGCAGAGGGGCAGAGAAGAAAAGGCCTCCACACGTTGCACGGATACAGTGGCTGCCACAAGGAGGTCAAGCCGAGGAACAACTGCGAGCGTGGCGCAGGACCGACGGTGTTTCGTTATATCGTGCACGGGGTCAGGCTGGGTTGGAAGCTATTTGTGGGCGCCTAATAACAACAGCAACAAGAGTCACCTGGGCATGGGGCCGCACCTCGGCTTGTTAACAAGTATCCCAGGTAACTCAGAACCAGGAGATCTTCAATCCATTATTAGAACTTTGAAAATCACTGATTTATAAGGTGCAAAATAGTCAGCAGTAACCAAACCCTTATGGAGCGGATACTGACTATCCAGCAATGATGCGCCTTAGAGCTGGGCATGCATTTATATCATCTACCTCACATCCAGGAGGTGCCGAATGGCTAACACCTTTGCCCAGCTGCCTACAGTTAGTGGATTTGGCTCTCGGCACGTGGGCCCTGAGGGCCCTGGTTGACACAACACTAAGAGCTCAGTTTCTAACCAAAGGTTTGTGGTTTGAACCCACACACCCGCTCAGTGTCTGCCTTCGTAGAATTACAGCCAAGAAAACACGCTGACAACGTTGCACCTGTCTCCTGGGTTGCTGTGAACCGAAGATGGGTTTGATGGCACTCAGCAAACCTACCATTCCTGCCTGCACCAGGTGTGTCCATAGGCAACGCTCTCCCATTGGGACTTCCACTGATCCATGTCCGAAAACCCACAGGATTGATTTCTAGTTGGGTTTTTGCTGCGCCCATAAAGAAGCGAGGAGTTCATGAGTGCATGGAACACACATCAAATATTTTATTAGCTTCCAGATGGAGAAAAGGGGCGAGTAAAACCATCTCAGTAGAAATCCGTCGCTCTCCGCAGAGAGCCCACCCTGGCACTCAGGGCCCCCCAGTCGTGGTACCGCCTGTACTCCCCCGGCTGCAGCAGGTACTGCCGCCCCCGGTAGTTGGGCATCTCGTAGAGGACCCAGCAGCCCTCCAGCACATTGAAGGAGTGGATCTCACTGAAGTGGAAGCGGTCGTGGAGGGAGGAGCAGTCCTCCACGAACTCCACCATCTGGCCTCTGTAATCCTCTCGCTCGTAGATCCGGATCCTGTGTGAGCTGGCCTGTGGGTGCCGCAAACAGTGCATGAAGAAAAGCAAGAAACTCAGGCCTCACTTGGGGGCCACCAAGGATACAAGCCCCTGGGGAACTGCCATCCACTGGTCTAGTGGTTCCGTGTTGGGCTGCTGCTTACAAAGTCATCACCTTGAACCCACTAGCCGCTCCGCGCGAGAAAGACTTGGCTTTCGACTCCTGTAAAGAGTTGTCGTCCGAGAATCCGAGAGGCAGTTCTACTCTGCCCTGGAGGTTCACTGAGTCAGCCCGGATGCAAGACAGTGAGTTTTTCCCTTTTCTAAATCAATGGTGATCACATTTAAAGAAAGAGATGGTCAGTCTCAGGGCCATTGTGTATCTTTGTGTTGGTTATACACTGCACAACTGAAGAGGGGATCATTTGCATAGACCCACTTCCTGGGCCACACCCTGTCAGGAACCATCCCCACTGGCCCCGCTGAGGACCATTCTAAGTACAATTTTCCTATTGTGTTCTTTTCTACAAGGCTCTCATGAGTGTCGGGCCCCATGAGAGACATGCATGTTCTCTCACTCGTAGGTGCATGGCGATTGTACTCCCATCTTGGGTGGTAGTAAAATAGAGACTAATGGATCCCTGAGACATATGGTTTTAAATCTTGATGCATTCGAAGCCAGGCAGAGACAAAGTTGGGCTGCTTTCCCCAAAGTGAGGCCACGGAATGGTAGCATTTCAGAGAAAGAGCTCATCCCAGGACACCCGTTAATCCCATGCTGCATTAAGTGCGGCCCCTGGGAAACCCTCGATAGCAGGGCCAACACAACGTAGGTTTCATTTCTCAGCTTCCATTAGATGCTCCTGCAGATCTGTTTCAGGAAATAAGTCAAAAATGGAAGCTCAGGGTCATAAAGGAGGTCAAGATAGGATCAAGAGGATATAAAACCTCTTTGAAAATGGGAAGTTAGGTTGCTGGACCTGGGCAGACCCCGTTTGTCTTTTTATAATCACTTGTTCCTCCTTTATCTGCTTGTTTCTTCCACGGCCTCACTGCCATATCCTCCTGTAGGAAAGGTTCTCCCAAGCAAGTGATTCTAGAGTGTCAGGTAGCTGTGAGTCAGAACCAACTCAATGGCACCTAACAACAACAGCAACAACAAGGCTAACCCTAGAAGGAGTCCCAGTGGCACTGTGATTGTACATAGGGCTGCTAACCACAAGGTCAGTAGTTCGAAACCACTAGCTGCTACTCAAGAGAAGACAGGGCTTTCCACTCCCATAAAGAGTTCCAGTCTCAGAACCTCACAGGGGCAGTTCTGCCCTGTCCTGTAGGGTAGCTGTGAGCAGTCAGTTGGTTTGAGTTTGAGTTTGAATGCCGGTTCTGCTGGCACAATGGAAGAAGCATTGGGCTATGAAGAGGTCAGAGTTTTGAACTGACCAGCTGCCCCTTGGGAGAAATAGGAAAAAGCTGGCCTCCGTAAAGACGTACAGCCTGGAAACCCCACAGGGGAGTTCTATTTTCACCTATAGGACTACTATGAGCTGGAACCGACTCGAGGGCAGTGGGTTTGATCTTGTTAAGTTATTAAACCCTCTAAACTAAAAAACAAATGCACTGCCACCGAGTCGATTCCAGCTCATAGTGACCCTGTAGGGCAATGTACTCCTCATTTTTCTCCCACGAAGTGACTGGTGGTTTTGAACTTTCAACCTTGTGGTTAGCACCTCAGTACATTACCACTATGCCACCTCAGTACATAACCACTATGGTCCTTAAACCCTCTAAGGAGTTTCAAATTGTACAAAAGCAATGCATTTTCTGTAGGATACTGACATGTTCAAATGAGAGCTTCTCTACCTGTGAAATAGCAGGTTGATGGTGCGATTCAAACTCACCCAGGGACACAGGAAACCAGGCCTGGCGATTGCTTGCATAGAGATAATGGTCACCGAGAGTCCGAATCAGCGTTCACAACAGGAGCTTTGGTGTGAGGCTGGGGTTGTATTTGGTGAGCAGTGTGGCTTTCCAGGGACTACCGGAATCACATTGTGAGTTAGCTGTTCTGCCTCATTAAAAAGTGAGATACTTGTTTGGTCTGATTATCCTGTTCAAAATAATAATGTGGACTTTGGGGTGGTGGTAGCATGTACCTGGTTCTACCCTTTAGCCTCATCACAACCGTATCAATTTGCTGCTCTCTTAGCCCCTGCAACAGATGAGAACAGCGAGAAACAGCGCAAGTGACTGGTGTAAGACCCCCAGAGGGCGAGGAGGGCATCTTCTGTTCATGCATGGCCGGTGGCCTGGACGCTGCGAACAGTTATCATGTACTGCTTATCCTCCATAGAGGAGAACTGCATTTTAGTAGAACAAGACAAAATGATCAATTAAATGCGTTCCATCATACACTTTTTTCAGTGGCAGGAAACACGGGCGACGGGAACGAAAGGAAGGAGGCTATAGCGGGCACCAGCCACAGCAGCCCTCCTGCGCCCAGCGCGTGCATCAAGCAGGGGAGCCTTGACCAAACTCCACGCGGCTGGGCTGGACCCACCTGGGGGATGAGGCGGCAGGAGCGGACCGAGTCGCTGAGGCCCATCCACTGCTGGTAGTCGGGGTACTCGCCCCTACGCAGGAAGTACTGGCAGCCGGCGTAGTGGGGGTGCTCGTAGAGCATCCAGCAGCCGCTGTCCACGCGGATGGAGTTGCAGCGGCTGAAGTAGGTCTGCAGGTTGGGACAGTCGCTGCTGCACGCGTGGGAGCGGCCCTGGAAGCCCCGGTCCTCGTAGAAGGTGATCTGCAAGGCAAGGGAGGAAAGGGCTCAAGGGCCTGCCTGCCAGGTGCCCTGTGCTGGGGGACCCTCCCTGGGCCTCCCGCTGGGCTCACCTTCCCCATGGCTGGTTGGGAGGACGCTGGAGTTGGATGTGAGAGGCGGCAGCGCGGTGGGTCTATATAGCAGGGGGACTGCTGCGTTGGCAAGAACAACCACAAAAGGGGCCTCCGGGGCGGGGAAGGGGATTTTCGCTGCCTCTCTCTTTCTCTCTCTCTTTTATCGATAGCATGACTGTCGGGGTTATTGTGTGCTCGCTCTCAGACTCTCCAGAGCTCTCTCCGTGATGACTGTGGTTCAAACGGGCGCTTGCTGCCGCTCACGATTTAAATTCCGTTTGGGAAACTGAACAAAGGTGCTTCACCAAATTAATGACTATACTTCAGTGTTAATTTCTCCTTTGGGATGTCAGCATAAGGTGCTGCTGTGGCAGGTGGTGACTGCGTCTGGAGTCTAGGTCAGTGGGGAAACGAAGGGTAGGTAGCAAGAGGCCCCCCTCCTCCACATCAGCCACCAGGGACATTAAGATCGACCCTCAGGTACACTGCTCATAAAACAGGCGATTTAGATGCTGTGGGTTAAATTGTGTCGCCTTCTCAAAACAAAGAGGTTGGACCGGTTTGCAGAAGGCTAAGGATGACAGTGAGAGCCCGCAGTCCATTTGCAGAGACCCCCATGGGAAATAAGCCTCCACTGAATACCCTCAGGCTATTCATTGACCAGGGATATGAAAAACCCGGACTACAGAGTACATCAGAAAGTGAATTATTGAAAGTACAGACAGGTTAGTTTTCAAATCATCATTTGTCTCCCTTTAGAACTCATTTTTAATTTGTTCTTTTAAAATTATTATTTCCGGCTTTCTTTGGGATTGAGAAAAAGGATGTAACCAATGTCATTGAACACAGTGGATAGAAATGGTTAAATGAAAAACAAATCTCCTGTGTCAACTGTCACTGAAAACGCAATAAAATCATATTTCAAATGAACAGACAAGTGAGCAGAAATATGTTGGGAGCCTAATCTCTGTATTTGTGCATTCCAACACAAGCAAGGTGATTCAAGAGAAGTCAGAAACTGTAGAGAAGTATCATTAATATCGGGATAATGCTGAGGCTTTCTACTTCGGAGTTATAGCCTCAGAAACTCACAGGGCAGTTCAACCCTGCCGTATAGGGTTGCTATGAGTCAGCAGCGACTTGATGGCAGTTAGCATACGAGGGGGCACCAAAGATAAAACTTTCATAGTTCACATCCCTCCACCCCCACCCCACCCCCTTTGCTATGCGAGCATCTAGCAATTGAGCAACTCACTCCAAGTTAGGCACCTAGTGTGTCGCCTGGGAAGGTTCTCTTTGGTCACAGTGAATTTTTTTGTAAAAGCTGTTTTGCTCAAA